AGACATAATCGTTAAGAATTTTGTTGTCAACAAATTATTCGTGCAAAGAATCCGAAATGAAGTTAATGCAATGATTTGCTGAAGAATTCAAAATATTGATGAGTCCAATTTGCATAACATTTTTGGAGGAGGGTATAAGGTGTAATTTTTGCAATGTAAATTGGAACCTTTCCCTCCAAAGTTATCTTTGACTACCAAAAATAACCTTTAACATGCCCAAAATTACAGCTCTAACCATATTATTACGCTACAGAAAGATAAAACATTCCAAGGACACAAGTGGGTTTTCAAGCGATTCATTACTTGTCGGTGGCAGCTTACTGTCTCTGTCATCTTCCTCCAGTTTCCGGTGCCTCTCGTCCAAACCGGACCTGACCCGATCCAGAGACTTCCCGATTCTTCTCGACGACTGGCTCCGATCCAAACCCGTTATCGCCGGCCCACTATCCGTCCGTGCCACTGGCGATCTTGACCTTCTTCCTGACCATTCGCCACTGTCCTTTTTCCTCCCATAAACTGCGGGACTCTCCCTCCCGGATCCGACCCGAACTGGTGATGACTCGGGCATTCTCACCGGTGATTTTTTCACTGCTCTATCCGGCTTTACTTCGCCGGATAACGACCGGTTCTTGAACTTCGCCGTTGGCTTCTGGCGGACCTCTTTAACATCTTTAACACGATCGCTAATGTTCTCTCTCTTTTCTGTAAATTCTGCTGAAAAGCTTGCACCCTCAATCAGACCCTCTTCCGATATCTCCTCGTTGTTGAATACCATATAAGGCTTCTTCAAAACGGTTTCGTTCTGCCGTTTCATATATACGGCCTTGGAGAAATCTGGTGCTAAAAGATCAGCCTTTATAACTGGAGTTTGAGTTTCCTTTTGGTGATTATCTTGAAATTTTCTAATGCTGGGTGATGGTTGTTTCGGAATGATGGGAGTTTCAGAGAGGACTTCTTTAACTGTTTCTTCTTCTAGCAATGGCTGTGCGGATGGCAGAGATTTCCTGGAGCATTTTTTGTTACTTTTGGATTTGAAAACGGGAGAATTTGGAGTGGCTGAGCTGGTGGTGGTGCTAACACAGCAACCCATCGGGATCAGAATTTGAAGCTTTGGGATTACATGGAGTGACGGTGGGAGGGATAATTGAATGGATCCAATCGAATATTTATTGGGTGCACCTGGTTCAGTCTGCTGTAGTTCATTTAAGGGTGACGAAATATTAGGAAAACCAAAAAAAAAAAAAATAAACAAAAAATCAAATTACTTGAATGCTTATCAAATATATATAACTAGGATTTGTTACTTATATTGGAAGAGGAAAAAAACTTCAATAAGCGGAATTATTTTCACGAATGAGTTAGAAATATGTTCACGACGGAACAAAGAAGGATTTGTTTAGCATGATTTTTGAAAAAAGAAAATGAATTTTTGAGATCCAAAAGTTGTTTTGGAATTCATTTGATTACTTTTGTGAGAGTGCTTCTAGTAGTTATAAGTGCATTTAGACAAATATTTGAAAGTAATTTCACAAAATTAGCTAGATGGGTTTAAAAGTAGCTTTTGGATTTCAAAATCTCCTTTTGACTTTTCAAAAATCATGCTAAATGAGCTTTAATTGTGATCTTTGAAAGTTCTCTTAAG